TACAGAATCAGCAGAAATTCTGTAGAGGTCCAGTAAATGTACTGGACCTCTACACCAGGGGGTAATGGTCCTCGGCCTCGGCCGGTTCCTGTGACGATTTCAAAGGTTTCGTCACCAGAACCGCCCAGGAAGGTGTGGAACCGGGTTCGCCGAAACCGTTTCGGACCCCGTTCCACGACCGCTTCTGGAACGAGCTGCATCTCGCAACCGTTTGAGAACGGCTGCAGAGGCGGTGGTGAAGCGGTTTGTTTGACACCGATTGCGATCGGTGTCAAACTGTCTCTCCAAGCTAAACCAATTCCCAAGTTTTTACTCATGATCAAATCTGAAGTCAAAAAAGATAAAAAACTTGAGATGGTCGAAAATGAGATTAAGATAGCCATTTGAAGATCAAAACAACTGATTAAAGTGGATGCTAAAGACATCAAACTGATTAAGATCGGTTTGAAATAATGAGTTGAATGGAATTGGTTTGTAAATGATAAGATGGAGATTGATAAACATAAACTTCCTTCAAGGTTAAAGAAACAAACACCTAAGAGTTCAAGATAAAAATATAAGAGATGATGATGATGAGGCGGATGTTGTTTTCTAAAGTTAACAATCAAAAGATAAAGTGTAAATGAAATCAAAAAACCAAAGCCAAGTGAAGCGATTGATTTCCTTGAAGACTTAAAAACCAAGAACAAAGTCAAGAAAGTTGAAAGAAACAAATGGAAGTACGATTCGAAAGCATCATGGTGTGAGATACGGGGTTTCTTATTGTGGTCGGTATAGTGCAGAGGTGAAAGACTGGGGTTTGCCCCGTGTTTGATCAGTTTTGAGCCTGTGTTCAAGCCCCACTGCCTGATTCCCTTTTTGCAAACTCTACGCCGTAACTCGGAACGTTCCACGGACCGTGTTCGAGGGGTCACCGAGGCGATTTGCTTGCACCGCCAAAAACGGTGATGGGAACCGCATTCTTGCGGTCCCATCTGAAATCGATCCAGAAACGTCGCAAGTAGTTTAAAAACGTGACGGCAAGAAAACGGTTTCAAAAACCGTTTTCTTGCCGTAGGTTTACCCCCTGGTGTACCGATTCTGCAGAGGTCGGTATCTGCAGATCTGCTCGACTTCTACCGAGCAGATCATACAACTCATCCTCAAAATCACAGTCCCAAATCCCACTTCCCACTACAACTGTATATACATCACCATCAAACACCATTTTTGAGGTGTTGGTACCTCTTCCAATCTTGTAACTTCTTCATTTCTTAGATCAAGCGTCTTCAAAGGGTCATTTTTTCATAAAAAATTCGTTTTCTTATTCAATCGTTTCAAATTTATCATCTTCAAATCAATCGTTCTCAACTTATCATTTACAAATCGATTGTTTCACATTGATCGTTTTTGAACCAATTGTTTTCAAATCAATCGTTCTCAAATCAATCATCCTCAAACCAATCCTCTTGTTTCAAAAGTGATTATTTTGAACTTAGTTGTTATCAGATCAGTTGTGTTCTTTGCAAACTGATTCCTCTCGAGTGGATGTTTGTCTGATAAAAGAACACTTTTCAACCATAAGCCTTTGAAATCAAGTGTGAGATTTACAATTTTTTTACCAAATGCACGATAGTGGGAATGAGGTGTTTCTGTACTGTACGTACTGTAATTTGTTTGAGATAAAGTAACGATAGTGGAAATCCACTGTTCTGTATCTAAAGATACTGTACCGAGTGAGTATGTACAGAAAATTTACAGAAGATTTACTCAAACGATAGGAGATGCTCTAACCCCATATCAAGTTTCAACCCTTGATATACAGCTGTTCCAACAATAGGGGTATTTACAGTCGTTTTCAAAATGCTTGTCACAAATTCACTGCCAAATGATCCCAAATCGCTCGAGTTTTGCGGGCAAATTTGGACAAGCTCTTTGCAAACGACTGTACACAAACCTACAACTGTTGAGATCCAATTGACACAAGCACATGTGCTTTCTCCTAGATTATACATATATCAGATGTACCGCAATCTTCTTCCATATACAGTAGTTAAAGTCTACTCTGTGCTACACCTGACTACGGGCGGGCCCGGGGCTGGCCCCGGGCCCAATTGTCAGGCATTTCTGATTTTCGATTTTATTTGGCATGGATTTGAAAAAAAACCATGTACAAGGGTCAAGTAGTGGTTGGAACTTTTCACAACCGCTATACGTGATGTACTTTGTTAATTGGTTCTCCTCTATTCTGGCATTCCTTAAAATTCT